CAGACATTTAGAAAGCAGCGCCCTGTTTTATTGCACGCTGCTAGCCGCTTCCATTGGGTTTTGCAGGCCGTCGTCATTGGTCGTTACACGTATGATGTCACGCGACTTGTGGCCTGTCACGGCTCTTTAATGATCTCCACTAAATGAATGCAACAATGGCCTTTTAAGTTGATCTCTGTGGCCATCTGTCTATGGAGCGACCAATATGAAAGTTGGGTGAATTTACCGGGGTTACATGACTATGAGCAAGCAAATGTGTATCAGGAATGGATTTAGGTGGAGAATTGCGCTGGACCATGAGTGCTCGAACGCTCCCAATTCCACGCCGGTTTGGCTTTGGAGCCGAGACAGACGATGCGGGTCAAGGTCACCGCTGGGGTAACGGTGGATTGGGTGCGCCCGAGCACCCGTAACGCGGCACAATTCTCCATCTATGGATTTTCCTATTCGCTCAGCATTGTGATAGGCGTTCGTAATAGCATTTACTCTGCTCATGTACCTATCCCCGGTTATTTAAAAGAAGTTTTTGTGGGGGAATATCACGGCTTTAGGTACTCGGTGGCCCTATTCACGACTTTCAAAGAATGCTCCGATAACTAAACACCGCACAGACCTACTGCATTAGTGAATCTGACAGAATGTCTGTGGAATTACATCCCCCCTCACCACACCCCTAAAAACTCATCCAGTGTCCAAAACCACTTTTATCGACTCGCCAAAAAAAAAAAAAAACACACACACACACATACACACACAAAGCATGGGGCATGTCAGCTCTCAGTTCATTTATTATTGTCTTTACCATGGTTCAATTGCATTGCGCGATTTAAAGCACGTGAGTGCCTATATAGTATATATGTATAAAATAATATCTACAGCAAAACATCCAAAATTACAAAGGCTACAATGCTTAAAAAGTAGGTTCATCAAGGAAGCCCATTTTTACTTGCGTTGTGTTCCCAACCATGCGATTCCAACGCGGGCTATTCGCAACGTCTGTTAAGGCACGTTAACAACTGACAAGCCGCCACCGCTGCCACTTATTCATAGATGGTTGATATCGCAGCTTGGGCGTCAGCAGCGCGGCCCACAACGCGTCGGCGCCAGCGCACGCAGCTGTTGGCACTCGGCAGCCGGTGTTGCGACTTAACGGCCGGCCGGCCCCATGAAGGAGAAGCTCTTGGTGAAGCTTTGTGATCACCTCATAGCCGCCTTGGATGTCATCTTTCTTGGCAGATCCATCCGTTCAGATGGTACGGTGCAGTCTGGATAAAGGACGAAGTCCAACGCCGCTAACCCCGCGACCGCCACCCCACAACGTGGCCGCAGACCGAACGGGCGTGAGGGCCGTAAGGGCCACCCCGCCATCCGGTAGGTGGCTGAGCAGCCGGGCGCAGCGGCGCCTGGGCGGCGGCCGCGCTGAGATGAAGTCCCAAACCGCCATGTCGCCATCACCGCCATCACCATTGCTGCAGCTGTTCCCAACCGCCTCAATCGCCGCCGTTTTGCCAGCAGTCGCGCCGCGGAATGGCAGAAGCTCCAGAGTAGCCTCCAGCGCCCCTCTCCGCACGTGTGCAGGTGCACTGCGGCCGCCGGGTCCGACGTCCAGGCAGAACATGATATTTCCATGCTGCTCCGACGGTGGGCTGGTCTTGTTTGGGCGTTCCTCCAATGTGACGTCGGTCACGCCTGCCCCGGCCAGGGCGCAGAGGCCGACGTGTCACCATCCGGTTGCAGTCCTCAGTCGGGTCGCAACGTGTACCTCTTCCGCAGCGTGGAGCGCGCTCCCGCTGGGCAGCGATACAGCCAAAAGTAGCATAGCATGCGGGCGGCCAGCGCTGCGCCGGACAGCGGACCCATGCCGGGGGTATGCCGGTCTCGGCCATTAGCGGGGTCGTCGGGGCCGAGGCTGTACATACAGCTGGTGACCGCGTGAGCCGCCAATCGAAGCTCACGGCTTATAAGCTCGACGCGGGCATCACACGCCGTCCCGATGGGAGCTCCACGACGCCGCCGCGAACTCCAGCGCGGCTCGCAGCGCGAAGACCAGTACGGACGGCCGGGGCAAACGGCGTGCGGGAGTCGCAGGCGACGTTCTGCGGACAGAAAGGGTTGGGCATAAGCTGGTCGGCAGGACACTCTTGAGCCGAGCCTTTGATGTAATTACAGATGATCCAGAAGCATGCACAAAAATTCATGACACACTATTCTCATTTATGTATTTGCTACATATGATATGATATACCAGCTCATGATCAGTGACGCATTCTGGGCAATATGTTCTAAAGTGAAGTAACTGAAGTTACAGCTTAAAAGCTTAAAAAAACAGCTTAAAAAAAACACACGCACACACATTCGATAGCTTATGAGAATAACATGCCTTGTGTGCTTAATGCAGGAAATTTTTTTTCACTTTTTTAGAAACAGCAAAAGAGTTGTCAACAAGCCATGTCAACTATCTAAACAATTTTTATGGAAACTGCTCTAGCTAGCTTAAAGTTGCACAACGTTTTCGGAGCACCGTACCCAAACTCAGTTCATGTTACAAGAAAAAACAGTAATAATGCCTCCTAATTTTGAATGAAATATAGGTATGAGTAATTTGATTTGGAAAGCAACAAATTTCCGCACATCATTTTAGCAAAATTACTATTTTCTTCAGCCATCAGGTTACACAAAACTATAGTAAACTTTATGATCTAGTTTACAAAAAACCAAAGCCCCGATTTTAACAAATGTAGATAAAATTTAAACAATTTTAAAAAATGTATCGTGGAGAAAATGAAAAGTGTAGATTTGTAAAGCCGGGATATTTCAATTTCACGGATTAGGCACTTAAAGAAATATCTTCACCTTTCTTTGAGCCACCAGCCTTCACCCAAGTTTTACACGAATGTAGTGAAGCAGACAATGTGGCAACTCAAAATTGTGATGGTTTGAGATAATTATGACGGTAAAAGAAAAAGCAACACAAGGTTCCTTACCCTCGTTTTTTCACATGGGTTCAGATGAGGCTTCAACTGTTGCCGACCTGAGGAGCTATAGGGACTTGAGCTTTCCAAAACTCAATTTCTAAGGGCACTGAGCAGTGTTTGGCTTTCACACGAATGCGATAGTAAGTTATATGAAGTTGACAAAGCAAGCAAAGCAAAGCATGATGCCCCGCGCGTCCGCCCGCGACCACGCCCCGCGTCCGACTCCCGACCGCCGCGTGACCCGAGGCGCCCGGCGGTCACGTGACCTACCGGCCGGGACTGCAAACGGCCTTCACCACCATTCTTGTATGACGTCATATCCTACTGAGGTGCTGATTGGTCGGAATTAGATACCTGAAGGTAATTATCTGCCGTAGTTATTTTTGTTTCATTGTTTTGCGTGTTTTCTTATATGAAATGTAATTAAAAAATTTGTCATATTTTAATCACCATTAAAACATAACTGAATAGGTATAAAAGAGAACTCGATATATACTTTCCTTGTTTTTAAGAATTCCGGAATTAGATACCCGAGGGAGCAAAGAGGGAGCAAGTTGCCACGCTGATTTAACCCTCGCCCGTATTGGTGTTTTTCCAGCCGCGAACGTATAAGGGGGGGGGTCCGTTGGACCCCCCCCTTGCCGTTTCGCCCCTGATCGAGCTAGAGCTTCGCAGAAAAAACGAGCGTGTTGGCCGTGACGAGAGGAAGCCGATGGTACCCAATTTTAAGGTCCTAGGTCATTGGTTGACCTTGCAGGTCAGGTCAATGACCCTAAAGGCGGGAAAATCGGGACCTGTTAGAACGTCGTAAAGTGTGGCTGCTATGGGGTTTCTCGGGGTGCTGATCACGAATATCATGTTAGTTTTGATCACAGATGATGTCTTCATGTATTTAGGCCAGGTTGGGTCAGGTCAGGTCAGGTCAACCAGTAAGGGTATTCGTAGTAGGTAGCAACCGCCTCTGACAGCTTCGTAATATGTTACGAAGGCACCAAAACTACTTCGTAAATGTTCATATGGTTGCTAAATTCGAATTCAGCTCCAAAAACTGGCCTGGAAACATGTAAAACTCGAAAAAGTGAACCGAGGTCATCAAAGGTCAATGACCTGACCTGACCTTCAGGTGACCTTGACACCTACCCTAATGCATGGGGGCAGCATCATATCACATGTTTGAACGCTTGAAACCACGAAAAGACTGCAAACGCGCGGCTAATGCGAGCCGACATACGCCGAATCGCGATTCCGGCCAAACATGGTCTCGAAAAGTAGGTCACAGGTCAAAGGTCATTTGGGTCAGGGTCATGAAATTTTCAGGGTAGGTGTGAAATTGATGAACGCGAGGGTACTGAAAGTTTCGTCGCGATCAGCCGCTTTTTACGCGTGTTATTCGCGAAAAACCATGGGGGGGGGTCCGTTCGACCCCCCCCCCCTATACGGGCGAGGGTTAATACCTCATAGTCGAAAGGTGGGCTACTAGAACCAAAAATTGCTGTGTTTGTAAATAAATAAGTGATTTGAGGGCAAAAAATGCCCAGATTTAAACTTCTAAAATTATTTTGAACATAAAATATTTCAGTTTGAGGGATGTTAAGGCCTCTAAGTGTAGGTACTTTTTAGGTATCAAATAAGTTCCTCTGCGAAAGTTCCGTCGTGAAAACGGCCAGTCTTACCTTTTTTACTCATACCGTTGTCATTGTTTTCCATGCTTGTCAAACTAGCTGCTTTTCAGGTTCATAGATGCTTCTTACGAGTATGTGTTTTTATTCTTTTCTTATATTTGTAGTTGAAAGGACAAGGATTTACATAAGCGCATGAATTGCTGACTTGACAATAAATATGTTTTGATACACGTCGCATAATCACATAATTGCGCGCTCTTTGAAAGAAGTAGTGCACTCCTCACATGTCCTTCTTAAAACTGAGCTGAGATTGCCTGCTGTCTTCAGTGAGCGGTTACTGGCTGCTGTCGTGAACTACACATGGAACATGTGCTGACTGCTGCATTTCACGGTGTGTCTGCAGAGGTGCCCGGGCAGCCCGGCCAGCCGAGCATCGTGCCGCGGACCGAGGACGCCGAGTCCGAGTACCTGTACGAGCAGGTGCCGGAGCACGGCATCGTGGTCTGCTGGGACCCGCCGGCCAACGCCACCGCCAACACAGGTAACCAACGCCACCTCCAGCACAGGTAACCACCGCCGGCCAACGCCACCGCCAGCACAGGTAACCAGCGCCGGCCAACGCCCACACAGGTAACCACCGCCAGCACAGGTAACCGACGGTCACCACCAGCACAGGTAACCGACGGTCACCGCCAGCACAGGTAACCACCGCCACCGCCAACACAGGTAACCACCGCCAGCACAGGTAACCGCCGGCCACCGCCAACACAGGTAACCACCGCCGGCCAACGCCAGCACAGGTAACCACCGCCAGCACAGGTAACCACCGCCGGCCAACGCCACCGCCAGCACAGGTAACCGCCGCCGGCCACCGGTCACCACAGGTAACCACCGCCGGCCACCGCCAGCACAGGAAACCCGCCGGCCACCACCAGCACAGTTAACCCGCCGGCCACCGCCGCTGCCATAGGAGCACAGTTATGCAATATGCAGGCGTGTCTGTGAGTGTCCACTGTCCATCCGCGCGCCAGCCTGCATGTGCAGCACGGATATTGGTGTCGGGTGTCTCTTGTCGATCCGCTGATAAGTAGGCGCTGTTTCTCTGCGAGCTGAGCCTGTGACTACTACTGTGGCTGCGCTGCAGGTTACCTTCTGGAGGCCAGCTACCCGGACGGTCTCACGTGGATTTCTGTTACCGAGGAGCCCGTCTTCGAGACTGTCCAGGCGGTGGTCGACCTGACCCCGGGTCAGACCTACATCTTCCGCGTGACGGCGCAGAACCGGCGCGGCAGCTCGGCGCCCTCCGTGCCCTCCGACTCTGTCCAGGTGAGCGCCCTCCGTGCCCTCCGACTCTGTACAGGTGAGCGCCCTCCGTGCCCTCCGACTCTGTCCAGGTAAAAGTACCTCCGACTCTGTACAGGTAATAGTACCTCCGACTCTGTACAGGTGAGTGCCCTCACTCTGTCCAGGCTTGTACCGACTCTGACCAAGTGAGGTGCTCTCCGCCCCCTCGACTCTGTCTATAGGCGAGCGCCCTCCGACTCTGTCTAGGGGCTTCAGACTGTCCAGGTAAGGCGCCCTCAGCCCCACCCCGCCCCATCGACTCCTTCTAGGTGGGCGCGCTCCATCCATATCTGTAGATGAGGACAAAATGGGCTGATTGAACTGCGATTGACGGCATAATGTCCGATTAATTCCCAGTGCATCGCTGAATTTCCTAGACAGAAGACAATATAAGGCTAGTGCTGGTGGCCGTCCGGTGACTGACTGCACTTGGCAGTGATGGGCTCAGTGACGAATGATTAGTAAACCCATTACCCGCCATTCGTCGCTGGTCGAGCAGTGCCACTCGGCCGCCGTTCTGTCTTTGGATACTGCGCCGCCGCGCTCAGCTGTCGTGCGGCACAGCATACCCAGCAGGCGTTCCGCCGCGCCAGCCGCCTCAGCGAGGCTCGAACAGCGGCTCTTGGGCGGACCGGATGAGTAAGGCCAGGCGTACTTTTTGATTTTGTTTTCTTTGTCGCTTTGGTTCTTTCTCTTTCTCTTTTCTCTTTGTTCTCTCTTATGTATAAACATCTCATTTTATGTTTATACCTTTATCACCTTTTCATCACACTTTTAAGATCTGTGAGCACGCGCGCACAAGGGTGCATGAGTGTGAAGGTCTTGTAAATGTGTTCTTTTATAGGGTAGTGTGGGGTAATTTGAACATATTTTTACGTCTTCTCCGTTGTACCAAATTCCAGTTCAACCCTGGATGAAGAAAAACTGCTTCAGTAGCGCAAGTGTCACTTGCTTTCACCATGCAAGCCTCATTTTTGGACGAGCCGAGCATACCTTGAATAGCATAGCCTCACTTCTCCACCAAGTCACGGTGTGTTCAAATTGCCCAACCGTGGGGTAATTTGAACATACTGCCTTTGCCTGTCATAAAAACGATAGTCTCGCCAGCACCGATGTTGTTTGACCCATAAACAAATAGGCAGAACAATTCTAAACATACCTTCACTTGAAAAATCAACACAACAGCAAAAACAACAGTTGCAGAGTATCAATATCTGCACGCTGCACACCGGTCAGTTGACAGAATTCGCCCCTCTTCAATTAACAGAACGTCTATCATTTTTGTTCGATAAAAACTCTCCCAACCGTACTACATCTGTTAAAGTGGTGCCAATCGAAACCTGGACATTTGGAGTTCTGATTTTGTCCAATGTCCAATTCGGAATTGTTTGGACAAAGGTAGCAGACTGGACAATATTGGACGATGGCTTGCTACACTTCAGCGCTTTTTATAAAGTAATCGTGCATAGCATTGATTGGCGAATGGAAAGCTTGTTAAGATCTCAATATAATGAACACTTTTCGGCTGGTAAAATTACATGATAAGCAATATAAATGACGGTTTTGAGTGTTGATAGCTGCATAATTTTCGGACATATTTGGACAAATAGTTGACTTTAACATTTTTGGACGGAAAATCAACAAAAATGCCGGACATTAGACGGATATTAGACGTAAATTTTCTAAAACTGGCATCACTTATCTGCTACTGCCTTGGGTCGAAAATATTGGCAAAAAAAAAAACTGGGAGCGTTGTTTTTTTTCGGAGCTATCCCTGTCTTCATTCAAATTCTCACACGATGTTCAAATTACCCCACGCTAAAAGTTATTTTGCCATTTTAAAAAACAGGGTTCAAAAGCAAATTTCTTGGATTGACGGCGCTGATTAGGTCATTATACAACAAAAGCCGTTGCGTATTAGGCGCTAGCAATGCAAGATTTTGCGCTGCAATGAAGTTGCAATGACGTGTTGTTAGGCGTTTTTCCTTGCGAAATTGATTTTTTACACTGTGCGTCAACATCTTCATTCCCTGAAACTTAAAACCCCATTCATATGATAGCCCTTTTAGTTACGATAATTTCTCTCATTGGTCTTATTGTCATGCCACTTATGGATTTTCCGTAATTTTCTGTTATTCACACTATGTTCAAATTGCCCCACATGTTCAAATTACCCCACCCTACCCTAACTGTTTTAAATAATGACTTCGTCACTCAATGGGTTATCCCGTCGGCGATCTTTTGAAATAAATAAATAAATAAATAAATTTTGTTTACTACACTGTAAGTATGTAATCCCAAACCTTGCTCAATCATTGAATGCATGCAAAGCTCTTGTTGGTGCAGCCCTGGACAGTGGACTTAGGGATAAGACCTATAATTTTAGCAAACATCGTCTTTTTAACACATTTATCTTACCATTCGGCTGGGAAATACGGGAAAGGCTATCTCAGTCTGTTTCTCTAAGTTATTTACTAATCACAAATAAACGATAAACATTTTTTTTTGAAAGCTTCTTCGTCCAGCGCAGCTCTTACGCAGAACATTTGTGCCGTAGCCCAATCGATCCATGGTCGCACTGGCTGTAAACTGTTGCTCTGCCGGCCGGTGCCCAAGACATTGTCTCGTGTATAGTCAAGTGGTTGCCTCGCAATGGAGTTGCTCGTTTCCATTTAAACTTTGACGTCGCGGGTAAATTATTAGCTTGCACTGCTCATGAAACCTTTTGAAGTCAAACGATAAATCTACAACTACGTGCTCGTACTAGAAACGACTGTCATGCAATTTCAGCAAAACGAAAATGTAGTTTCTGATGTTATTTCAAACTAGGAAGGGGGACCTCCAGGAGTGATGAATGGTTGAAGCGGAACAGTGACCGGCCCTGACTGAACCTAAGTGGTTGTTGGTTCACTCAGTCTTGGACAGACGGTATGTAACATTGCAATGAAAGAGCGTTTTCGTGGAAGTAGAACTAAAGCAAAATAAAGTGCTACGCTACTCCATGATTTGGTACGCATGCATTGCCTATGTCGTATGTCATGAAAAGCGTGCCACGCGTTGGGAGGGGTAGCTCGTCGGTATACTCAGGGGTGCCACTTATAACCCAGACAAGGGTGTGGGGGCCGAGTGGATGAAGCTCTGTTTTCCCCTGAGAACTTCTGTCAAAGCTGTCCCAGAAACGCTGTCTCTAGCCAGTGTGTTGCCGCCCATATTCCACTCAGGTTTTCGTAAATGTACAGGGTGATCCAAAAAATTGGAACCCCTAACTTAAAATGTCTGTAAGTCAGAAAAGTTCACTTTATTGACACATTGCAAACACCATTAGAAAGAGCGTTCAATTCTCTATAAAACCAAGTTGATTGAACTTTATTATTACTATAAATATTGCCCTAGACATATGCCTATAAAATTTTTGTCACGAAACTCAGTGAAACGGTTTTGAACATTATGCGCAAATCAGTGATTGACGGTTTGCTGTTCTGACCATGTCGCTTGTTGGAGGTTCATGAATAAAAATAGCTCATTCACGTGCTATTGTAAGGACTGGAGAGGAAAGGCTGACGGCCTGCTGGGACCACTTGTCCCAGAGACTGCTGGCCCGTGCAGTCGTAGCTGTCCCCAAGCAACTGCAGGCCTGCGTGACGGCCCACGGAACTCGCGTTGAGCACATGCTGGGATGAACAGCGGAAGCTAGGACGCGTATATCTGTTCTACTGTGTGCTTCTGTGTAAACTTTTATGTAATAACATTGAATTTGGATGTGGTGTTATTCGCAAAAAGACAACAGATAGAGTGCTAACGGATTTCAGCGCATTGTTAACATTTGGCGATTTCGTTTCACGCAGTTTTCTGACGCTCATTCCAAAGGCAAATAGTGTGCCAATGCTTTACAACATACATGCACCACTTTGACGTGATTTTATAGAGAATTTACTGCTCTTTCTAATGGTGTTCGTAATTTGTTAGTATAGTGAATACTTTCGGACTTATAGACATTTTAAACCCGCGACCTGGTGGGGGTGGTGGTATTTTTTGCCCCTCTCCAGACTTTTCGATATATCTCCAGAACCGCTGCGCCGATCGTCACCAAACTTTCAGTACCCTCCCGGACATCAATTTTACGCATTCTGATTAAAAATTGTCTAAAGGCTATGATAGGTTGGCCGGAAATGACGTCAGAGTGACGTCATGTTCTGCCGTTTCGACCCAAAAAAGGGTTTTGCAGGAAGAGCTGTCAGGCCTATAGCTTTGCAAAAAAACACAAAAATGATAAAGAAATAAAAGCTGTAGAATCGACAGGGCTACAAAACTGCTTACTCGGATTTTTGATTTTTTTTTTATTTTAACTCCCAAAAATCAAATATTATTTTTTTGATATAATAATCGAAAAATCCAAAAAGTTTTTTGAATTTCGCAAAAACCGGAATATATTTGATAGTCCTTACCGCCTTCCATCCACATACCAAATTTGAGATTGATGCCTCTTTTTTTGGCGAAGTTATAGCGAAAAAACTATTCAAAATTGATGACGTCAAATTTTCAAGCTCAATTTTTAGCAATTCTAGACCCCGTTGCGCAAAACAAAGACCACCATTAGACTCCCCGTGACGAGCTGCATCTAATAAACACCCATTTTATGCAAAACTATCAACTTTAAAATTTGACCTTTTTTGGTCTGACCTTGACCTGTCCTTGACCTGAACTTCACCAGAAAGTGACCTAGGCCGTACCTGATAGTCTTATAACCAACACCATTGAGTTGGAAATGAAAAATTGGCCATAAAACATGCATCACACAACCTTAGTAAAGTTGGGCTCATGTGACCTGACCTGTGACCCTTGGTGACCTGACCTGTGGCCTGACCTGGTATTGTCAGTGACCTCTAATAGCAACATATCTACTAGGCAACTGACGCCCTATCGCTGATTCTCGACGAAATGCGTTTTTCTCGGTGTTATAGCGCATTCCCTAGAAGACCCGTGAACGGTGAAACATTTCATCTTTGACCTGACCTGTGACGTCATCGGTGACCCCGAAGTCAATGAAATTTGGTTTCCTTCGACAAATTTGACAGGCCTTTCGAACACCGTTTGAGTTTTGCGGATCCGTCGAGTAGTTTTGGAGATACGAGGGGGGGGGGGGCAAAAAATAGCCCCTCCCCCCACCAGGTCGCGTTATAAACAGACCCCACCAGGGCGCGGGTTAAGTTAGGGGTTCCAAATTTTTTGGATCACCCTGTATATGACGTTTTTAACGGTTTCATTTCTAGCTAAATGCCCTACATTTAATGCTCAGACAATAATGCACATGCTAGCCATCAGTCAGTGATGTTATCCACCACAAACTCTTTTTTTTCAGATTTGTTTACGTAAGTTGACGATACGCAAACTATATTGACCATTAACCCGGCAGGCGGTGGGCCTACCAGCCACCTTCCACGCGGTGGGGGGGGGGGACTTTTTTGCCCCCCCCCGTATCTCCGAAACTACTGGACGGATCCGGAAAATTCAAACGGCGTTCGATAGCCCTGTCAAATTTGTTGAGGGAAACCAAATTTCATTGACCTCGGGGTCACCGATGACGTCACAGGTCAGGTCAAAGATAAAATGTTTCACCGTTCACAGGGCTTCTAAGGAAAGCGCTATAACCCCGAGTAAAACGCATTTTGTCGAAAATCAGCGATAAGGCGTCAGTTGTCTAGTACATATGTTGCTATTAGAGGTCACTGGTCATACCAGGTCAGGTCACAGGTCAGGTCACCAAAGGTCACCAAGGGTCACCACATGAGCCCAACTTTACTAAGGTTATGTGATGCATGTTTTATGGCCAGTTTTTCATTTCCAACTCAATGGTGTTGGTTATAAGACCATCAGGTACGGTTTAGGTCACTTTCTGGTGGAGGTCAGGTCAAGGTCAGGTCAAAAAAGGTCAAATTTCAAAGTTGATATTTTTGCATAAAATGGGTACCGATTCGATGCAGCTCGTCACGGGGAGTCTAATGGTGGTCTTTGTTTTGCGCTACGAGGTCTAGAATTGCTAAAAATTGAGTTTGAAAATTTGACGTCATCAATTTTGAACAGTTTTTTCGCTATAACTTGGCCAAAAAACGAGGTATCGATCTCAAATTTGGTATGTAGATAGAAGCCGGTAACGACTATCACATATATTCCGGTTTTTTCGAAATTAAAAAAACTTTTTGGATTTTTTGGCTATTATATTCAAAAAATCTATTTTTTGATTTTTTGGGGTCCAAATCCAAAAAATTCGAAAAACCGAAATAGCAGTTTTGTAGGCCTTTTGATTCCACACCTTTTATGTCCAAAACATTTTTCTGTATCTCTAAAGCTGTAAGCCTGACAGCTCTTCCCGCGAAACCTTTTTTTGGGTCGAAAATGGCAAAAATGACGTCACTCTTACGTCATTAGCGGCCAACCTATCATAGCCTTTGGAAAAATTTTTGGTCACCATGTGCGCTAGCTGCTCCCGGGAGGGTACTGAAAGTTTGGTGACGATCGGCGCAGCGGTTCTCGAGATATATTGAAAAAAGTAAAGAGGGGG